TTCAGTCAAATTGCAGGGAGAGTATGCTAGTAGAATAACTTTCTTTGTATATTAAAACTTGCGAAGTAAAAGTTCTCCTTTTCCATGTTCCTAGTCATGTATTAGTGAGATCACTTAAACAAAATCCTTACTCAGTTTTTTTTCAAACTATTACAGTTTCATGATTATTCGATTTCTGTATTAATGAATTTTACGCTTATTCAAATACTCTGGTGTGAGGGGATTAGAATTGTTCGCACTCTATATCTCGAAATGCCTACATATGTTTGTTGGTTTACGACCTCTTCCAAAGAAGTTCTCACTATGTTTAATGGTTAACAGTGTTTTTTTGCACAAAAAAATGGGATGGAGGTTGAACTCTTAAATCGTGTTGGTATATACGAAGACTTACGTAGGGATATTAGAAATTCCGGACTCGGAACCACTGGTCCACACGAACTCCAGGGAACTCAAAAGGATGAATGGCGAATGAAGTTACTCCAGTTGCCCGCTATCACGTCAGCTAATCTTCTGATGTTGTCCCACTGGATTTGATCTGAATATTTATGTCAAATGTTCAAAGCAGATCACTCTTAGACAATCACCTGTCTCGGTTTGGTTGTCCACATAGTTCTTACACCAGTATTTTATCAGTTTTACATTCATCCTGTATTAGTGAATTCGAGTTGATTATTAATAAACAGGTAATTATTCTTTCATATTCATGTCTTCTAGAAATTCTTCCCAGTAAAGAGTCACATGATGAATTATGCCTTAATATTTGGCGCCAACTTGAATCGGAATCCAACGAGGGAAACAATGCTTCATCACATTCTGTTGCTTCAAATCATGTTGAATCTTTATCTGCCTTTATAAATGGTTACAAAAACTTACAATGTTTTTCTCTGCAAGCTTTGAAACAGTTTCCTTGTGAATACACTAGTAATGAAGAAGGGGTTGACCATACAACCTGTTGTCATGTTTTTGTCACTGGCAGTTTGTATATGGTCGGTCGAATAATGAAGGTATATATTTTTTCTGGTTTTAAAGTATGTTATATAATTGTAACTCAGTCGATAATAGGCATGTTTAGCCTTTCTGATTGTCATGACCTTCATCTGTCCTTTGGTCCTGTTATTAAATGTGTAGAAAAATCTGTCTTAGAAACTTGCCAGACATCCTTGACTGTGCTTTACTACTTAGTGTAACCTTCAGCCGAAATAGGTAAGTTCGGTTGCGGGCAGGAATTAACTGATTAATAATCTACTATACAGACGTTGATCAGTTTGTAGAATAGAAGACAAACTAGAGTAAATGAATGAACTGTATATCTGAATTAACAGATCATCGTACTTGCACAAATACACGTGCCTAGTACTATTTAGACGTATAGACCTTGACAGAGTAAAATAAAATTACAATCTATGCCAATAATAAGATATTTAGAGTAAAAATCAAAATATCAACTTCATGATTCGTTTACAATGATAACAGATCACATGTAAACTTGAGGTTGTAGGAATAACAGAAATATGTGACCCAACTGTTCATAATTAAACGTGAAAAAAATATGAGTTATTGTGTTGTGAAAATTAGGCTGCTTAATTTCATCACTATCATTTCATTAACTTGTTGTAACAGATATTTTTAATTAAGTGGATATCTAGTCTTATTCTGTTGGTCGATCACTCCACTCATACTATCTAATAATAATAATAAGGGTAACAAGCAGTTTTTGTTTACTTTTTAATAAGATTCGCTGAAGTTCAATGGCAATGTTTAATCCTTCATTATAGAGTTATGGAGATTGTTGTTTGTTACTGAAATCATGGTCCAGAGGTTAGGCGTTCGCACGCACGCAAAACTGAAGGTCCTGAGTTTGAATCGTGCAAGTTACAGGAGTCGTGAATGTTCACTGCGTTCAATTAACAAACTTGTCACTTATTTATTTGGTTTTTTTGGTACCGAGTTGTATAAATAGTTTCCTAATAAAATGACAGACAAGATATTTTTGTAAAATTAATTTTCACTCCGTAAGTCGGTCGCCGCGGAGACCTTAGAATGTACGTACATCAATTCAAGTTGCTACTAGCACAGAAAGATGAAATTACCATGCCAAATGTCAGAGTATTACAGTTAGTAGCAATATCAATAGTGATAGAAAATAACTACGAATCGAAGATATGATTTTAAGAAAACATCAATCAGTAAAATAAATCTAAGTAGGGCAATGATGCATTCAAAAGCTTATAGTTTGTGGGTTGGATGCACCTGCACCATTGCAAACATTTTATAGCCATACAATTGAAGGTTTCTAACCACTGTTTAAAGTTATCATGCGGACACTAATCATGAAGTCTACATCTGTTAACACGACCTCAGCGCACGTATTATTGACTCCATGGACTGGTGCCATGTTTTGATCCGACCCCTCTTAACTTTCCTCCAGCCTACTTCTACTCATAGCACGTCAAGATAGTCGGTGGGTGGGCATCCTTAGTATGTGTATATCCTAACCACCTCGATTGCTGGAGATTAACTACCTCATTAATCGATTTGCCATTCTTACCTAGTATCCTATTCCTAACTCAGTTATGTTGAAATCTCATAGAATGTCTTCTAGAATTTCATATTTTCATCTCATCTCAGGAAAAAGTCTATTAATTTCAAACTCCAGATAGTAATTTTAATCCTTACGCTACAATTTCATTTCACAAAGCTGTACACAATTATGATTCATACATTAAATTATTTCGTTTATTTATTTTTATTAACTTTCCGACTCCTTATATGTTGTCTTGTTTGGTTTTTAGGAAATAAATGAACCTGTTTAAAGGATACAATGAACCTGTTTAAATTTCGATTCTGTTGATCCTCCGTCTGTAAAATAATGATTGGTACGTAAATTGCTGCATGTTTAATAGAAATTAAAACTACGAAATGCAAATATCATGAATAGAGATAATCTTTGATTTGTTCAATTTCGCGGATTATTGTGTGAAGTCTAGCGTTTTCGTGAACTCATTCACCTAGTAGGTGATTACTACACATCCCAATCATCTGAAAGGCTTGTAGTCTCATATAGGTTTGAAGAAAGCTAAGGGCGGCCAAACCAAAACATAGCGCAAATCCATCAAGTCACTGACAACTGGACCTAGTCATGTTGGTAGGTGTAGACTACCTGGTTTAGGTCAGCGAGACTATATTAACCGATCGTTGGAGACCTTGAATGATATGGCTCAATATCGTTTGCAATGGCGTAGGTGTATCCACTCTTTGTGTTTTCTCAAATTTTTATCTTCTGAATTCCTCATCACTTTTATCTTTCCCTTTCTAAATATACTTCTTGAATAATAGCTTTGAGCCCTAATCTGTCTGATTACTGCTAATACTTATACTACCTCTACTGCAATGGGATTTGAACTGACAGTTGCGTATCTGTGCTAATGCGGCATGTCAAGTTGAACTGATGTACGTATGTACGAAGTTCTACGCTGTAACTGACTGACTAACATCCGAGCTTACCGGATGAGTAAAACAAAGCAAAAGTTAGAGTTTGGAACATACAACTCATTGGAAACTGTGCTTTTATATGTAGCATTCACTTACTAAAATAACAGAAAAGTGCTAGATATTGCACACATTAGCCATTGAGAAGCAGATAAGGTACACATTTGTGAACATTTATCCTCTCCCCCTTCCCTGAATATACGAACATGTTCCACATCTACTGCTTTAGGAACTACTGCGTTCTCGTTAAACTTTAGTTCATTAAAAATCCGCACTGAATAGTCAAAGTCAAAGATTACATCACCGAACGTTTTTCCAAAAATTTCATTTTAAATTCTTGTTTAGAGGGAATTATGCAACATCATTTGATGAAGTAAAGATCTTTTGTGTCGGTTACTACTTGGATGGTTTCAAAACACGCTATCTGTAAACTTTAAATGGGTTTACGTTGAATACTGTCAAAATACAAGCCTCCAGTTTCAAACAATCAACCTATAACGCCTCATCTACACGGTTGAAGCAAACATATGCATCCGAAAGGGGTATATTCAGCTTCTCTCTTTACTTTAATCCGTAGCCGGACCACACAATAGTATAGCCTTTTGTGATGAACTCTTAATTGTATTCTTGTTCCTGTCTTATTCCCTATCATCCATTCATCCTACTTAATTTATACGATCTTCTTGTCATTGTAGTTTCTCATATGATTCTCTTATCACCTAACTTTATTGTTGTCTCGTTTACTCCAACATAACATTACTTACTATGTTCACGTAACTTTATTTTTCCAGATTTATTATAATTTTATATTCGAACGTGAGTTTTCTAGACAATTTTTAGATTACTTAATGAATGACTTATTCTAAATGTAACTAAATTGTAACCGACTAAAAAGATCTTTATCCTGCTACGTTTAATCCACTTACAAGCAAATAAATCTGTCATGAATTTGTAACTGTTGAGTCTAAAAATCAGATTATCGACAATCATTGTTTTTCGAAGTACTCTTTATGTTTATTGCCTGCTACTTCCTAACCATGCTACCTCGTTAAATACAATAGTTTTAAGTTCTACTGTACTCTTTTCTGGCGATCGCCTAATAAAGACTTAATCCAGACACTCAGGTTTCGGAAATAAGCTTATCAGCAGTTTTAATCCTAAAATAGTATCATTATTACGAGTTAATCAGTCAGTCAATAGTAACGTAGGACTTCGTACGTAAGTACATCGGTTCAGGTTGCCATATCACATTGCCACAGAGATGCGATTGTCACTTCAAATCCCATAGTAGTAGAGGTACTAGAAGTATTAGCAGTAATCAGACAGATTAGGATTCGAAGATATTATTCAAGAAGTAGAATCTAGTGAAATAAACTTAAAAGAAAAAGATAAAGGTGATGATGAATTCGGAAGGTTAGGATTTGAGAGAACACAAAGAATGAATGCACTTACGTCATTGCAAACGATATTGAGCCATGCCATTCAGGGTCTCTAACCATCGATTACTATCATCTCGCGGGCCCCAACCAGGTAGTCTACACCTACCGACATGACTCAGTCATTATTACGAGTAACGTATGTCCCACAGTAACCTTTGATGTATGGTGAAAGAATTCACACCGAAATTGTGTTTTTTATCTAACAATATGGACTTGGGGTTCCTACTTCTGTGTTAACTCAGGATTCCAAATTAAGGAGAAGGTTGAACACAGACGTGTGTAGCTTGGTAGTCAAGTATAACATTCCTCTCTAAGCAACAATATAGCCGATAGGCTTCACCTTTTTACCTCATCTAGAACTCAACCAGTTTGAAATTTCCCCAAGTGTTCATGTTAAAGATGATAAATTATTAGTGCGGTATATATACAGACGTCATGTGACACATGTATCCTAAGCAGCTTCATGGAGTAGCTTTGACATCTACTTGTGTTGCCTGCTTTTTTGGAATAAGGAAGTTATTAATATCATCATTTCAGAAATACTCGTATATCCAAATCGATTTGGGATCTAGCACCCGCTACATCCATGGTTCTTTTTTTTCTTAATAAATGGAAATGAATAGTGACGTAGGAGGACTGTCATTAATCATTGAAAGCGATCAGCAGAGGTGGTAAACGGGGTAGTACCCTAGACCATCGACTCAGTTGATAACTTTCATACTACATTTTAATCGAAATAAAAGTACTAGAGCATTATTTAGTGTAATTTGTTTCTTACCCAAGTTACACCAACTCATGATCTGTGCAGATGCTAGATTTTTCTAAAGTAACTCATCAAAGTCCACATGTTTAACATGACCGAAGAAAGCATAAACCTTCGGTAACCTCTTGGAGGGGACTCTCAGTTGACGGTTTCATAGCGATCAATCAAAAACTCCCTGAAAAAAAGATGCTTCCACACCTCAAGAAACATGAAAAGTGTTAGTATTAGTGCCACAACATCTGTGACAAATCTTCGAAAAAGTACGGGAAACCCTAAGGTTGTCTTCTTCCAAAATCCTCCGTTACAAACATCCCGGGAAGTTATGTTAGTATGCATTAACGACAACCGTAGCCGATGGAGAAGGCCGTCTTTTTTGCACAACTGATGTGATAACGAAAATTCACCATCTCGTCCATACTGAAACAGATCTTATTGTCTCTCCAGCAAATACGAACGATCTTTTCTTATGATCCAACTTCCATTTTCTAAGAGACAGATAGAAATTAGATCGACACTTAAGGAAAACTTCACATTTAACTTAACGGGATTTTACGCGAACCAGTAACTAGATTACCATCGTGATAGACGTTTCAATGCCCATTATTGTAATAGACCCGCTACAACATCATAACCTACTGATCGACCCAAGCAAAAGGAGGTTAAATGACAACAATACTATATCATCAGTTTATGCCCAACCACGAATAAATACCTAATCAACACGTTCTTCCAACTGTTACTCGATAGGTGTAATTACCGTGTGTAACAAGAATTATTACATATCACAACTACTGGGCCATCTTTTTTCTAAAAAGTAAATACTTGCCATCACATGATAGGTTCAGTGATTATACTAGCGTCAACAGCCCAAAGGCACCCACGTTGTACATGGTCCCAAAAAGGAATAGCAGTGACTGACGGGTTAGAAAAACCACGCGTAATCATTATCTGTTGCCTCACATTCACGACTTAAAAGCATCTTTTAAAGGCGTAACTGTCTTTAGAAATCGACTTAGATTGATTTTCATTCTGGATTGCACAGAATCGACCATAGTTGGGTGACTAAGTTCAGTGAACTGATAAGTTCAGACCAACGTTTCTTGAGACCCTTAATCGGCTAACTACGAGGAAATATGATGACCATTAACTTAGACGAAAAAATAATTGAAGGAATGTCACCAAGTTAACTATGTCAGAATACCTTGGCAGCAAAGCAACACATACGACTCGAAACTCCGAAAAGTCTTAGAAAATAAATGAACAGTACCTAGGAGTCTTAAGCATTCTACTCGAGACGGTTGGAATGTCTCCAATACGTTGCGCAAACTTTGTCATGCAGATTTCCAATCAAACTGATATTCTCGAAACTATTACGAGTTCACCTTACACTGTAAACATGACGAAGAGCAGTGACTCAGTTACACGATAGGCTATTCTAATCCGATTTTCCTAGGCTTGGTTTACTAGAAAAGGAGTACAGAATGTATTCTACAAGCACTCGGAAATTTCAAGGTTGCTAAGCACACAAATCAAGCTTATTTATACAATGATAGAAACGCCCTTGGAAAAGCCGCAAGATAGCGTACTTAAACTCCGTCAACTAACGACGAGCAGGAAATGTAAGCTGTAGGCCGACTAGACGTTTCTTGTGCGAAAACATGGAAATTCAAGGTTTCAGGATAAAATTACAAAATTAGGACCATTCAAAGTGAGTTCTGGGAATCTAACTACATCAAGCAATAGCTGAACGATTTACGGGCATGTTATTAAAAACAGCGTGAAAGAGGAGGCACGTCTCTGTGCATACTGCCTGAATTTCATGACTATTAGACTATTTAAAAGTTTTTTAGGAACTTAAGAAACGCCTGCAGCTAGCCTTAAGTAAATCCAAAAGGATATAGATACGACTGATATCAACGAACAGAATGTTAATCAGTAACAATATCGGAACAGTTAAGTAATTCTGAGGCTCAGCCCTGTGAAATGTTGTTTGGAAGTTGTTTATAAATTATTATATCCTTTTATTTGGGTGGGTCAGTTAGTCTCTGTTTTGTAAAGTCCTTAGCGCGAGGGCTTAACCTCTAGACTACTGATCCAAAGGTCCTGAGTTCGATTCCTGTGAGTAGTGGATAAGCACTGCTGATGAGTACTACACCATGACGAAACAGCTGTCTGGTGCTTCCATGTTTCTAATGGTGGACGTAAGTTGGTCGATTTTGTGATTTCGAACTTCATTTTTTGGACTCTGCGATGTGGACAAACATGCCAAAACGGACAGGGTTGACTTACCATGAACCAATAGTACTGTCTCGGTACTGCAGAATAGTGACGACAGTGAACTCATGTTACATTCCATTGTAGATTCGCTGGTTTTAACTGGCAACCAACAGACAACACAATTATCTTCCCATTTTTCTGAACAGTATGCCGTGTTATCTCAGTCTTAGGATACCATTTTCCCCTGTTCCGATTTTGGCTACTGGTCTTTCTAGGAGAATGAGTCTGGGAGGCTGTCTTATCCTATTTTCTTTGTTAGAGGACGAACGGAAGTGTTTGGGTCTAGTGATCTGAATTAGGCATATCACTCCGAAGTTTTGAGTTTTTCACAAATCTGTCTCTTGAGACTGGGATTCCTAACTCATCAACAACCTCGAAATTCATACCTCTACTAGTTATCTTAGTTTTTACGGTGTAAGAACAGGTAGCAGATATACAACAGAAAACAAGATAATTTTGAGATGAATATACTCCAGCTGTAAGTTTTGAAGGAGGAATATAATGATATTAAAACTGAGCGAATATATACTGAGCAAATTTAGAACCTGAAAGTCACCTAAAATTGCAACGTAACTCCTAGCAATCCTAGAAGGCAACACCACGTGGATCCAGTACCTTTTTCACAAGTCCTTTGTTTTCCGTTGAAGCAACTAAGAAGAGAGAAATTCACTAAGTAAGCTTGATCTGCAGCACAGTGGTTTCGTTTTGAAATGATTACGCTTATCTGATTTGCTTATTTGACTGACACCAAAAAAAATAAAGTTTTTGTCCTCAAGAAAATCTGGATTTCCCAGTCTGGTATCCAAAGCTCCTTTGCTCTATTTTAATGGACTATACTGTCAGAAATTCTGCTTGGAAATGTTGAACCTTAGCACAGACGTTTAGTTGGAAACAAACTGATGTTAATACGGGTTGCGTTCATAGTGAAAGTAAGAAATTCAGATTTCCAAAACCAAGTGAACAAGTGATTCATAAAGCGATTTCTGGAGAAGTTACTTCAACAACACCTTCTGAGGTTCACCTGCATTCCGATTGTTTTTCACCTTTGTCAAAGTGATCTCCTGGGACATATTTCCAGTCGATTTTGGCCTTGAGTTCACTAGGGGTGTGGGCAGATCGGCTGTGTACCTCACATTTTCGAACCGAAGATCTCCACTTGTTGATAGGCATAGATACTTTCGATGTTCTATCTTCTTGCTTCTTGCCACCACCGCTTCCTAAGTACCCTCTGTAAATGAATTTTCTACTATAGCAGTTCACGCCGATTCCAATAGGTGCATGTTGGTACGCACTGTCCGAGGTCCGATACCAAAACACAATAATTCTGGGAGAAAACGGTCTTTATTTAATATAAAATGGAAATATAGACAATTACCAAACAATAATACATCTTCTATTTCCAATTTACCGCGGTGGGTATCCGTTTCCTGGAAGAATAAGTGCCTACAGTTCGTACTGTTGAAATATCAAATCCAAATATGGCTGTAGCCATATTAAATATCACATTTAAACAACATATGTACAGTTCAGAAGGAAACGTGGAAACTTCAATATAAGTACAAGATATGGAAATAATAACAATGTGCAATGATAA